AGATCTTATCACAGTGACAGGATTTGCTATTGTTTTGACAGGTTTTTCGAAGGCAGCACATAGTTTCTGTTCTAAAAAGTGAATACTTCCAATAAAAACATTTCACAACGATGTACAGATTGAGTCATCCTTTTTTTCCATTTTGTGTTGATATTACAATAACATTAGCACTGCTCCCGAGAGTCTCCGTTCTCGCGGGACCATTTGAAAACCACGCTGCATAAGGCGATACGATTGAAAGAACGACGATCATGGACGAGCTCCAGAAGGCAACTTTATCATCTACGCCGTTATCGATGACGGCATTGCCTTCGACACGTATTCAGACTCAGCATTATTTTCGTAAGAGAGCTATCGGCTTGCTTGTTTTCACTAGACTAAGTCACGAATTGCTAGGATCAAATTTGAAAATATCTCTGATTAAATCTACTGAATATCGGTTTGAAAATATCTCTGATTGCTAACAGTTGAAGAACTAACCAGCGTTCAGACGTCGTGGTGACGCGCATCGACGCGCTACTATTGCAGCCGGGCTCTACCGCTATAGACGGAAACCCAGCTCGGGACAGGCATCGATCGGCGCTAACCGCTAGTGTTATGATATAGGAGAAAAGAGGGTGATCAGACTCTGGTTAGACACCGCATAGCACAGTACCCTCCTATGCCCACACTAGTGGCTATCGCCGACTGATCCTCGTCCAGGCCGCGTCCTGTCTAGAGCAATAGAGCGCCACCGCAATGGTAGCGCGTTGTGCGAGTTGAAGCGCGTCATTGCGAATCTGAACACTGCTACGTTTGATAAATCTTTTGCGCCAACGAGACTGTTAGGTGAAATTCATTGATCGCCTGGTTGAAGATCGTTCTCAGCAAAGGTCTAAACGTGGCTCATGGTTTAGAATTGCTCTCCCTCTGCATCACCAATTACCTCACTTCCTAACGCTTCTAATTGACTTTCAAGAAACGAAAAAAAAACTGAGTGAGAGGAAAACTTACACAATTCACTACTGCCGGAGCTGAGGAAGCCGCTTAGTTGTACAACTAGTGGGACTTACGGTGCCGATTTCGTATAGCAGCTATAGTCAGCAACGGTCCGTCCCACCGCTCACATCAACACTTCGTTGTGGGTATAAGAGGCATGAGGCCATTTTTCACGGATGAGCACTCACTGCGCACTGCCGTTGGGGTTGCTCGAGGATGTTTGGCAGAAATCCAGAACGCCTCAAGCACTTTCCTGACACAAATCTCGATCTCGCATGCTGATAGTAACCGTAATGAGCATTTATCCACAACGACCTCTTGCTATTTGCACAGCACTGCAAGCTACTAGAGCTCCAGGATGGGATGATACCAACTCGCCATGGCCATTCAGGATGAAATGTGCATCCAAGCGTCTTCGGACGCTAATATCATAGCTGACTTCCCTGCTAAACGATTTTGTGATAGGAGTTACGGACCTTTTTTGCTACCATGCTTAATCACTGCGGTCGCTCCCCTGCCCATGATTTGCGCTTATAAACACCTGTGACACAGTATAGTTGTGGCTCCATGGCGCAGCAGGTAAAATGATGGACTCTTAGCAGTGGACGGAGGGTTCAGATCCTTGATGCATTTCGTAGTTTTGCTTTTTCTTGAAACGCATGCTAAACACTTGGGAAGTAGTTTTGCGTACCTGTCCGACCACCAAGACCCCTCCTGCTTCTTATTGAGCCATACGAACGATTTTCGGAAAAAAATTGCACTTTTACCTAACTCGCTCAAGTAATGAGCCAAATCCACATGCATATCTGCTTAAAGGCAGCGTCCGCGATCAACCAAAGTGAAAAAACCCTCCAATGAAAACGAACGCGGAGTACGCAACCATAGCGGATATCCCACTCTTGCGGCTCGAAATGTATTGATTGACGAGGGCGGAGTCAACAAGGCTGAGCTGACGCCTCCTTCCCTGTTAATCCCGCCCCGACTGGTTAACAGTTATCAGTGCTTGCTGGCATTGATAAACGCTAAGTTTCTGGAGTTCCGAGGCGGCGACGTGTATTGGAGAACTCACCAAAGGTCTGCGAAACTCGTCCACATGCCTTAAATTTCGTAGGGTCTTATTTCACGCTCTTCCACACCTTTTTCCTACTTTTTTTGATTAGTGCTTCATTGGCCACCTGTTCTAACAAATTTGACCCCTGAGACCTGCCAAAGTCCATCGCGGGCGCTGTCTTTAACGCAAGAAGTTTTCACCATCTTTGGTGAGTACGTACGAGAACGTACGAGAACTTGAGGAATGTTCCGCCCGTCCCTGGGGTGCTATCACGCTAGGGGAAGAACTCGGATCTTACGATATTGTGCCCCGAAAAGAGATGAAGATTGCAGAGAGCTTCTATCCTATTTTGCGCGACGCACTGTACGACAACCTTATAATCGACTGCGAGGAAGATAGCTTCGTAGAGGACGACCATACGATCCCTCTTATCACCTGATGATGGTGATGACGAAAGTTCCCTCCGAGCTAGAAGAAGAGCCTCGGTCACTTCTGGGGATGTGGAGGTTCCGATAGACAAAGGTAGTTTGATTGTACTCATTGTCTCACTTATGGACTTCACTTTTGTACAACTCCATAGCATAGTATGTGTGTGGTTTAGGTGAATGAAGCCATAGCCTTCTACCGTTCTAGTGCAAAGAAAAGCCGCACATTTTCATGCATGAAGAGCAGGTTCCGCTTCATTGCTACCGAATACCACTTGCGGAAGTTGAGAAAACTAGCGACAGAAAGTGAGGAACTTGAGCGATTCATCTTCAGAGCTTTTATAAATTCTTCTTATGTTTCGGTAATACTGGCTGAGGTTCCGGAAGATCGCTCTGCCCGTCTTCGGAGTTTGCAGAAAAGCTGAAGGGGGTGTGATTGCAAAGATAAGCATGGAGATTTCTTTGCATGATATACGTCAAATGGCGCCTTCAGAACACAATAGATGGATTCAAGGATTCAAATGTGGCATAGCGTCCCGCCGCATTACTACCTTCACCTCAAAGAAAGGACTCCTTGATAAGGACGCTGACAGAATTTAGCAAAGAGACTGCAAAGAGATGTGTGGTGATGCAGGTTGGCTGTTGAAAACTCCATGGTCATCCTCATTAAGTACTTGCAATTTTTATAGGAACCAAACGGACGCTTCCCTGCGAAAGGTTATTTTCGTGCGCCGAATTCGGAAGTCAGTGCAAGCACATCGCACATGATGACTAAAGATCTTACGTTGAACTGCTAACTCTGACGCTCAAGGTTAAGAGAGGTGATTCTAATTACAAATGTAGAAGTTGAAATCGAAGCAGAAAAAAAATCAGTCTTTGAGAATATTCATCAAAACCTTACCTCTCATGTAGTAATGGAGAAGTGGTCTCTGGGAACATATGAAACGCGGACAAGTGTGGATTTATGAAGGAATTGCATTTGACAAGGAAGTTAGCCACCAAAGGCTGGAAAAAAGTTGAACGGGTAGTGCGGTCTGTTTCGGCTCTGACCCACTCCTTCACAGTAATGCCGACCCTACTCACTGACGGACATCTAGAATTAGAAACTAAACTAAACTTTAGAACTAAACTTTACATGGCGATGCAGGTTGGCTTTTGAGAACTCCAAGGTCATCCTTATTAAGTACTTGCAGTTTTTTATGGGAACCAAACGAACGCTCTCCTGCGAAAGGTCGTTTTCTACATGAAGTTTGGAAATCAGTGCAAGCACACAGCACATGATGACTGAAGATCTTATGTTGGACTGGTGTTAATTGTTGCATTGGTTCTACGGACTCGCCTGCGTCAACACTACTTATCGTGGAGCTCATTCAAAGACCACGCAGCAATGCAATCCGCTTTGCCGGACAGGCAGGACGGTAAAGATTCTTAACCCATATTCCACCTGGCGCAACATCCCAGATTCAGCCTGATGACGTGTGTTTTTTTCTCCCTTCAAAGCCGTGTTCAAGCGTATCACCTCTTACATTACTATACACGATGTGAACTTTCGTGTGAGCATTCGCGACTTCATTATTCGTCTTGTCTCGCTAGTTTACTTTCTCTTGCCAGTCAGCGCCTAAATATAGCCAAACGCGTAATGTGTCTGCGCTCTTTAACTACTCTTTACTCTTTACCGCTGAATGCGTGTTTCATGGGAAAACCTCGGTATCGACGCGAGTGCTGCACCTCGAGAACAGCGAAGTACGGAGATGGAGCCGCTACCCTGGAGCCCATTCCCACGTACTTTTGAACGCAGAAAAGGGCACCGTCAGCGTTCGCCGTTCGCACCGCACATGGCAAGGACCGCGCTCGGGGTGAGTTTACAGTTGTCCTCAGAGACCTAAGTATGCTTGTGAAGGACGTCTCTTTATCTAAAAGAATAGAAAATCACTCATTTAAAGCCGACTGACGCCACTTCTCGACTGCGCCATGCATCTTACTCCACGTAGCGATGACGGTAGGATGGAAACTACACGTGATATCTTCCCAACAAGTGGATGTGTTCCTCCGAACTTTCGGAAAACGCCCAAAACGTTTTATCGTCCACTTGAACGTTCTACAGTGATGAGTGAACCTTGTGTAAATGTTCCTCCACTAAATACGATCCCCTCGTGAACACCCATGACGTATGTGCCCTGCTTCACGTGGAGAGCCAAACCAGAGTTCCGAAACCTGTCTAAAACAACTATATGAAGTTTACTTCACGATATTGAGCCGAACATCAAATAGGCTGGAGAATAAGATGGAATAGAATCTGAAGTAGGAAGTTCTCATAGCATCCCCACCTTGATTCAAATTCTTCTTCGGTGTCTTGCTATTTACTTAATACATTTTTTTGTTATTGCTTATGCTTGGAGAAGGAACTGAATAATATTTATACATCTTCGGCGAAGCTTCCTTGTCACTCATGACAAATAAAGGAGAAAGATCTTGTTGTCAACAGCAGCTCAGAATAATCAAGTTATCACATGAGATCAGAACAATTAACACTTTAAAGAGAAGTATCAGGCACAGGGAGTGCTTTTCGGTGTAGAAGATTCATTGGACAATGAAGTAAATGGGCTGTCCGGAATTTCAGGTTCACTTGTTAGCGAAGATGCCAGTATGGCTGGAACGGCTAGGACTTGAAATGGACTGCCTGCAATATGACTGCTGTCGAACATCACTCGCAAAAAGTACACGCCTGGAGTTTGTGGCACGTAATACATCGTAAGTGTTCCATCATGATTGTCCACGCAGTGAATCGGGGTCCTTGTTGGTCCGTCAACGAAAAGGTCAATGTCACCGAATCCAGCAGAGGTTAAGTCAATAGAAACATGCGTTGATCGCTGTACGATCACAGGCCCAAGACCAGGTCCTGTAACGGTGACCAGATCGGCTCTTGGTGGCCCGGTTCTCGAGACAACGTATTCTGCCTCTGCTTTGTTACCATCAGGCACCGAATGTAAAAGGCAAGGCTCTCCAACAGGGAGATCGCGATACGTGACAGATATGGTGTAATCTCCAATTTCCGACGGAGTGAACCACACACGCATTCCAGTTTCGGTAGACTCTATGGTCGCTTCAACGATACTGCCAGAGGGACTGACGATCACGATTCGAGTGTTGTCACCGTCAGGCGTGAACACATGCACCTCCTGCTCACAGTTCACCGTTACGATCGCTGAAAAGAAATGCATGACAAGGCAGCATCATAAGAAGGCGAGGTCGACGAGAAAAAATCACACACGGCACATCAAACAATGCATGTTATTGAAAGGAAGTTGTTCAGAAAGCTAGCTCGATTTGTATAAATTAAACTTATCCTAAAATGAGACATGTCCTCAAAGGCAGAGGGCACGATTAATCCTCTAGGCATGTAGGATGTATATGCTAATCATCAAAGAATCCGCCGCGCCCCCCTAGCAGGCTTTAGATTCTTTTCCAAAGAAAAGCTGTCTCCAACCAAGAGTCCGCCAACTTACCATGAACTTTGAATGGAGACCTGGGTAGATCGATAGTCTATAAGGTTATTTACAAATATAGATAGCAAAACTGCAACCTGCATTTCACAAGCAACTTATGAGCAGGTAAAGTTTGTAATGGTGCAGTAGGGTGGAGGCTTGGTGGTGAGCTGTGAAGCATAAGCGAGGAATCGCATACGTCGAATCGAGTCGTCGAACGTCGAACCTTACCACTGAACCACCACGACTCGATTCGACGTATGCGATTCCTCGCTTATGCTTCACAGCTCACCACCAAGCCTCCACCCTACTGCACCATTGGAAATTTACCTGCTTGTGAAATGCAGGTTGCAGTTTTGCTATCTATATTTGTAAATAACCTTATAGACTCTATCGATCTACCCAGGTCTCCATTCAAATTCCACAGTAAGTTGGCGGACTTCCCTGGTGAGCATCCCATCAAGGTTTCACATACGCACTGGTACTCCCATCAACAACGACACGCCCACAAATGGCCGCACCGATCAGCAACCGATCAAGATCGGATCAGCTGTTTTCACCCACAACAGGCTGCTCAGTAGCGCTTTTTCCCCCCTTTCACAGTCCCTTCTGAATAGTCCCAGTTCGTATTGGTTGAAAAAATCGAAATCAAAAGAAAATCTTTAATTTGATAGAGAGCAAGGCTCTCATGCAATAGTGCATTTTTCTCTTGATTCCCGTGAACTTCGACAGCAATTTCACGAAAATATCGTTAGTATATCCCTGCTTCCGCCGAGGACCCCTGTTGATACCGTCGTGAAGGTGCCACCGCTTGAAATAATGTGACATTGCCATTGCAGTCGCCGTGATTTTTTCACATTGGTCTTTGACTAGCGATGGTTTGCCTCAGGAGTGAGCTCGCACGCTTCCAGATTGGAGCGGTTAATAAGGACCGCAGGGTACATAATCGTTGGCGATTCCCAACAGGGAGGTGGCGTATTTGGTCGCTGGGGTGAAGCGGGCCGTAGTTGGTTTTTGAGAGAGACTCGCGAGGAATTTTCCCAATTGTTGACTTTTCGCGGTTTCTCCTGTTTCGTATGTTATATGCCCCCGCCGCCGCTGGACAGCAAGAATTTTGAGGGGAGAAAAGTGGGATGATTTTCAAGTTTCGAAAAAGTGGTAGGAAGTTGAGAAAATCCAAGAGAGTGGTAGGTAAAGGAGATAGTCGTATTTTCCTCGTGTTTTCCCCGTTTCACATGTGCATTGTACACCCCCTCCCCCCATCCCCCCGTTCTTCCCCCACTCGACAGCTCGATCGTATCGGAGAAGGGAACTAGGGGAAGGAACGTATCAAGCCATCTTTCAGAGGGGGGGGGGCGTACAGATTTGACCAAAATTTCCAATTAGAAATGTGCCCTAAAGGACCTTATTTCGGGCACTTTCGATCGCTCTGTCCCGTTTTCGTACTATTCCGTGCCTCCGCCCACGTTTTCTGCAGAGAACCAAATTATCGTGCTCACTTCCTTTAAGTTTCGCAATGCAGGCGCGACTTCTATCTAAAAAAACTGGACCATCCATCTCGCTACCACTTTGTTTTATTAAGCCTTGTAACTATGTTCCTCGGTCCAAGTTAAAATTATTGCGAAATTTCAGGTGTAGCACCCCATCCCCCGCTTCTTTGAGATTCAAGCCTACCTCATAAGTAACAACTCCTAAGCGCCACTTGGAAACCCGTGCGTGATTTGTGGGAATGCACTGAGGGTCACCGCGCACAGCGTAGGAGAGGAATCCCACCAACCACGTTGACAAATGTTATGCTATTGTGGTCCCCTACACGGTATTCAGCGTGGACTGAGTCTTTAAAGACAGGTAAGGTCGCCCATTCACAACTTGAAGGAATGTGAATCATCATTTCGTAAGGGACGACGGCGACGAAAAAAGTCAATCAAAAAGTCGAATCGGCCTCAATAAGAACGCTGTTAGTCCTGAGTATCTCATAAGCATACGTAGTAGGGAGATTAAGAGCAGAAAAGAAAAAAAAACAGCTATCGTACGCCCACGAGTGATCGAGACACGCCCTCAGATATCGATGGTAAAACGAAAGGATAAAGATGGAACCAGCACATTTATCATAAGGCGGAGCTAAGCTGTCGTCGCGAAGCGACAGAGCGCTTAAAGCGCTTTCGGGACACGCTTTCGCTTTCTGATTGCACACCTAGGGCAACGAGGGGCTTTTGCACACCTAGGGCAACGAGGAGCTTCTGCTCGTCGAGTGATCGCGGACGCTCTCTTTAAATTAGGAATAGGTCTCCGCAAGGACGTGCCGCACGGCATCGTCGAGTGAGTAGATGCCCCGTTAGGTTTAAAACTAATTTTAGGTGATCCAGATATGCTCTACGAGCAGTATTGAATACAATACTTGTAATATTGAAAGCGACTATTCCCTCTTTGACCAGAGAATCATAGGCAAGAGCTCATTCTTAATTCCACTGTAATTGCTCAACGTATTCGCTGATTTCCGAACAACTCCTGTATACATCAAGTGTAACGAAATAAAAACTGTAAGTACAAAAAACAACGGGAGAGTTATGACGCGAATCACAAAAAACCAACAAAAAACATCGAAATTAGAAGATGACCAGTCCACACAAAACGAAACTGTCGCATACTTGTTACTCAACGTAATGAAAATAGCGGCTAATCAAAGACACATTCTACGTCAAACAGAGGGCGGAGTGATGGGATGAAGTCATTCTAACCAGTGCGCGTTACTCATTGATGAGTTGATACACACTTATTCGCCACTTTGAATGCGATACTCCAGTGAATGGGACCCGCTACGAATTCGCTGTGGAATGTGACTCCAGTTTACCAAGCTCTTTTTAAGTTCCTTTCAGTTTCCCCTTCTTCTTGGGCTTGTAAATATGAGGTGTTGACGATGAAATCGTAGGCGTAGTTCAGCGACGGGAGCACGGTGGGGTGCAGTTTTGCACTACCTCAGAAGTAGCGGTTCACATGTATCACGCTGGTGAAACCTGTGAACACTTGGGAAATTGGAGCAAGCTCGTCGAGCATCGGAGCAAATGGTGTTTGTATGGTACTTCATAGCTTTATAAGAGTTACAGGTACTGTTGGCGGGTGGTCTTTACAAACATAAGCTGGTATCATTTAGCAGCTTCACAAAATTCCACAGGCCTTCACTTGATGGCTCGACACGCCAATTCAGTAGGAATGCAAAAATTCATAAAGTAAAAGTCACTGATCAAAGAGTCCCAGGACAACTAGAAGGGACTGCAAAAACTTCAGAAAGGTTTTTACTTCGAATAGCACTCTGTATAGTTAATATTCTTCGAAGGAATCATGATTTGCCGTAGTGGTAAATTAAGCCAAAATTTTACAGCAACTAGTCACAGTCTGAAATTCTGTGGAAACGAATCTCAAACCAAGACATAACCGGCAACCTCATCGGCCAGTTCATTGCTCAGTTTTTGCCTTGACAAGATCAGTACGACTCCACACAGAGAGGAAGACATTCAATTCTCACAGCAATCAACAGAATGAGCATTAATGAATCAACGTACATGCTCGTTATTAACCCAATCACAACTGGATCCATGGCTTGACAGTCAAGTCCAAGCACAAAACAACACTCAAATTCTGATTAAGCTAAACTGCGATACGTTTTCGAGACCCTGGACTTCTTGATACCAGACGTGTCCGCATCAACTGGAAAGGGCCCTCACACTTCGGGTCCTCGTATTCGTCGGAATGACACAGCCAAGCAAAAACCACGTTCAGCTAAATCACAATGTGCCGGCAAAGCCGGACTACGCATGTTTAGCCCTCCTCCTCCTGCTAAAACACATATTGAGCACACTAGACTCAAAGGAAGATACCTTGGAAATCTCCTGACTCAATGGCAATGGGCTTGAATCTAGATAGAAGATTCAAACCGAGCCCCCACAAGTATTGTTCACTGAGGTCGCTGGTTTTCAGAAAAGCCAAACCACCCACTATTTCTTCTACGGCAACGCCCACCTGTCTTTGCAGTTGAAAGAAAAAAAGGCAAAAGGCGGCTGAGGCGCCAAGCCGTCGCAAAGGCACCCCCTGTTTTGCGGGCCTATAATGTGTCGGATAGCGAAAAGACTGTACCCAGTGCTCAGCTGACAATTGAACCAGCCGACTCCTCTCCCCCCTCTCCAGTCTATGGGCTAACAAAGCGAGCTAATATAATACCTGGTATGGTCCTGGCCTCGGTGCAGTGTACTTCACAGTGAATGATCCGTCATTGTTGTCCAGCACATCGATTGCGACAGCTTTACCATTTTTATCAGAACCAGAGAGCAAAACCTAAAGACACTTGCTTGCATGTCGGCCAAAAACACCAAAAGGTCTTCAATCCTTAAAACTGCACCAGAACAGCATTGATTTGGCATCTTTGTGAAAGTGAGTGAGGATTCCTGGCTACTTCACTGGAACTTCGGGACTCCAGGTCCGAAAATTCGCAGTTTGGAAATGTCGACAGGTTCGTAGACATTCACCTTGAACAAAGAGAAATAAATGTGACATAGGAACATGTCTTTAGTCTCAGTTAAGAGGACGCTGTGTCATTTTTCCTCAGAGGTGCGATCCCGATAGAGATAGATGGGCAAGTTCTTGAAGGACGGAAATAGTGCGCACACGGTGCCCAGGCATCAAGAGAAGTTCGCAAGGATCACGCAAGAGCATAGGCGCTCGAGATAGCTGATATTACTTGCCATTCAGCTCCCAGACAATGCCCATAAAGATCAACGACGCTCTTCTTATGCCGCACTGCGGGCGTCCAACAACAAGCATGCAGCCTTGGGCGTAGTGCGATATCTCCTGCTAGAAGGTGGCCGCGACATCGAGGATATCAGGCATACTGATCCGCCTCATCATTTTTTTAATGGTAAGGAGACATAGGGACCGCCGGGGGGAGGGCCGGCCCACCTACTGCAGCCGTGCGAATTGGTATGGACAAAGGGAACAATAATGTAAGTATGTTTCGCTGCTCTTCCCTGCCAGGTGCGTAATTCTTCTTCCCACCCGCGTGATAAAACAGTGATTGGCTCTCAAACTTTGAAAATGGTCTTGAGCCCGAGCCCATTCCACCACGCTGACACTCGCAGGTCGAGGGTTGTGACCGCAGCGATTACCTCGTTTTAGAGGTGATACTTATGGATTTCGGCAAACCCGGTGAGCCTCGTAACAGTAAGATAAGACTAAGTAGACCGGTCCTCGGTCTCTAGTAAGACTTTAAGCCACCTTCGCGGCTTTACAGTAAGTAAAGAAGGCGTTGCGGCGCTCATAGCTCGGAGTTCTGACCCCTCCTACCAGAACTCAAAGGCGATTTCTGTTACAAGTTTAACGCCTTGCATAGGATATCGGATAGCAGGATATCGTACTGGCATGGCTTTTCGATTCTTGATGCTCGATCATGACGTAACATGCCACGCTTGTAGAACATTCCAGGAGCTTTCCCACAAGAAGTACATAAAAGCAGAAGGTTTTCCTTGATTTATTTAGTGTCAGTTTCACAGGAACAGCTCCGAGTCAGTCTTATTTGAGTGGTGTCGCAGCACTGGAGTGACGGCAGCTGTTGAAACATCAACAGTGCTTTGGGGAGGACACCACTCCCATCAGGACTATCCACTTCTGGTTCGCTCGCTTTGCGAATGGAGAACCTTGAAGACAAACCTCGGTTCGGACGGCGCCACGGAGTGGAAGACTTAACCGTTCTCGAAGCTGTCAAGGGGGATCCGGAGGCTACCACCCGCAGTCTTGCGACAAGACTCGGATGTACCTAACTGACAGTCGTCAACCGCCTGTAAGCCCTTGGCTATCAAAAAGTACTGGCTCGATGGATCACTCATACCATGACCGATGGCACGCTGTGCACCCGGGTACCCCTTGGTCAATGTCCCTCTCTCCGCCCTCGTCAGAAGGAGTTCCGAGGCTACTCAGTGGAGATGAGAGGAGGTTTCTCTATGATCTAAATCCACACAAAGCCGTGTGTCTCTCTCAAGGAGAAGACCCATCCTAGCAGTCCAAACCGAAATGCACGAGAAGGTTGCTCCTGTGCTGCTTTTGGGACGCGAGGGGCATGCTGCACAACGAGTACACGGCATGCTGCCATTTGTGCCGCTCAGCTCCGAAAACGCATGCAGACTGCAGGAGAAAAATGACCGACCTTCGGGGCACCTCATGAGGACGCGAGACCCCGTACTGCTATGGAGACCTACCCAATAATTGAGGAACAAGGCTGGGAGACCACACCCCGCTCATATTTCCTGACGTAGTCCCCTACGACTGCTACCTGCTCCGCCTCCTTTAAGGCTTTCTTAGCTGAGAAAACTGTCAGCAAGTTGATGACACCAATCGAGAAGCCGCCGACTTATTCTACCCTCCCCAGTAGAAGGGGAATGCAACCAGCCCAATGGGTGGAGCACTGTAGTGGCTAACAATGACGAGTATATTGTTGACTAATTTCCACTGTATTGAGTTAGAAAATAAAAAAGAAAAAAGTCACAACAGTGACAAGGACTTTCTTTCCAACCTAATATATCACTAGTAATGAATACTCAATAACTTACCGGGAATGGCGAACCAGGTATTGCAACACCGTTTAGGCTGGCGCTGATATGATGTTTTCCGGGAGATTTAGGAACAAAACTGTAGCCATAGATTCCACGATCAATTTGAGAGCCGCTGAGAGGGACGTGAGTTAGATCCTTATCTAATATTTCAACTGATGGAGCCTCATCGCTTGCTGAAATGGGAATGTACTCTACCGCACACACTCAGAATGAAAAAAATTAAAAAAACGACCTCCAGTGTGTCGAGTGTCAATTCGGAATGACGCTGGTTTGCCAGGGATGAAACTGATATCATGATCAAGGCCGGTAAGCTGTGCTGCCGATGGGTGGAAACCGGCAATCGGTGGCTCAACCTTCAATACGAACGGAGATTCGGCTATGTGTTCGCCACCTGCTAGGACATTGACCTTGTAGATTCCTGGCTCCTTGGGCTGGAAACGAAATTCATAGCAGTTCACATCAAAGAGAGTAGCTGCTTTTGAAGAGAAGAAAGTAAGAAGGAAGAAGGAAAAAAAATCATTTCATCAGTTCTCTTGTAATTGCAGAACCAATTCTTTTCGCAGCCGATGGATATGAAGGTCAGTAAAATTTCCATCTTTAGTCATATTCAGAGTTGAGGTCCGTAATTCAGCAAATTCGAATTCGTAGCGGAAGTACGGCAAGAAGTATCACTTACGCGGCATTCGGATAGCGGCTCAGCTGATTCTACATAGCAACGCTGCATGAGCTAGGAAATGCTTTAATAGTTTGCGTCGACTTTGAACTGATCTAATATACCCGAAGTAACCTTCACGAAACCTGCGCTATAGCACCTTGAAGGCACGCCCCGGGTTCAAAATAATGACTTGTGCGGCTGAAATACTAATGATAGATGTTGAGTAAGAAATAAGCAGGAAAAGAACCCGCCTGACACGCTCCATATAGAATCCTATGCTGAACCGCGCTGGTACGCGCATAAGGCAAAAAAGGTTGTGGTCGGGTAAAATCTCACTAGCAAAGTTCTGCTCTTTCTCCTCATCGCCTCACTCTTACCATTCGAAATGGAGAAGTTAGCAGCAGAACAATGGCACCATGAGGTGGTAGTTAAAAATGAACGCTGGGCTGGGCGTTTCCCTAACCAATGGGCGGAGATCTGGCTACTTCGCGAGTCGGTCGCGCTACGCTCTCTTCACGTTTTTTGAGCTTTGAAGGTAATCCTTAATTTCAAGCTTGCGCGGAAGACTACCATGTCCAAGGAGGCGTCAGCGCATCCAATGAATGCGGTGCGTGTCTTGCGAGGGGTGTCTTTATTTGACCCATTCGTGAATATTTTGATCACTCTTGTTCTTAGCTGTGAATAAGCCTTCTGAGCAAAACACTCTGGAAAAACTGGGAAATGCCGATGAAGCAAATTTTGGTGCTGGTGCTGACAGAATAAGAGAATGGTTCTCTGTGCACTGATTCTATACCATACATCCTCTCAGTCAGCGTCGAACGTAAGAAAAGCGCTGGTGAGTCTTACCGTGTAGGAAACGAGAGCGGCACCTTTCCCATGGTCTTGACAAACGATATCTGTTTTACTTGGTCCCTCAATCGAAAATGCTGAAAACGTCAGAATATTCTCCTTGGAAACGTAGAGGTTCTCTAAGTTCATGTAGACCATACCCAATCTATCAGCATCACCATTGGTCTCAACACCGAAAACGCTCAGTTGATCGACGACCCCTCCCTCCAAGCCTGGTCCGAAAGCGCGCACTCGAGACTTTGTCGACGGCCAAATTTCAACCTGAAACTTCACTTTTCAAGGATTAATAAGCAGTTGAGTGGTAGGAGTCAACGACCTTATATGGGCTTTGTCCAATAGGTTCGGTTTTGTTTGTCACATGTACACTGTGTCCTCCAACCGTTGTTGGTGTGTAGATAAAAGAAGAACGCGTTCCTTTATTCTGTTGCTTTACTGGCACCTCGACACCATCATCTGTAAAATGATCCATCTTGAAGACGACCATGCAAAAGAATGACCAGTTAAGAGAAAACACATGAATGCTACCTGTGAAGACCCGAACATGCAAGTCGTCTGCAACTTCATCTGAAGGACCCTTGATATCGACATGAACGGGCACCGTTTCGCCAACTCTGATCCCTTCATTGTTGATGCCACGTCCCCATACAGAGAAACTATCTGAATCAGTGGTGTGAAGGATTGCTCTCGTTTGGGAGGTACAAGTTAGTAAAATTGATGGTGAATGTTAATATAAGTTAAAAAACTGCAGACTGCCATGATATACTTGATTAATTCATTGTTTAGTTGCTGTGTGCAAGTGCTCTTACGCAGCTAGGTGATTTATTATTTTGATTGATTCTTGTTGACGAAAACCCCTGACTATTTTTGGTAATTTCTCGGAGTTACGCATTGTTTTCACGGCCATTCCTTTGGAAATGAAAAAGGCAATAAAAAATATAATTAGAGAAATCATAAAGCAGGCAAAAACACTACGACAACGGCTGCAACATATCTGACAATACAAAAGGACTTACCGCCTGGCAATATTAGCCTTGGGTCTGTGTTTACTGAATCTTTTGAGCCACATCAGAAAATCCACAGAAGATAAAGGACCTTTCGCTCATAAAACGGAAAGCTGCCTCCATTCGAAACATTTGATAAGACAAACGGGCTCTAACTTGTTACGTCGCCGTTCAGCGCCGCTAGTGCCAAATAGCATCGTGACCGACCACCCACCACCACTCGATTAGGTAGAACATTTTTTTCACATTTATTTCTTCATTCACATTCATTTTTTTCACACACATTTTTTTCAGGCTGTAGTAGATCACTTGGTTAACAATGGTGACCGGAGTTTCACATCTTCAAACGGCGATAAGGCAACATCACGCACTTGACCAACATCATCGTGAGTCCCACCCCTTGACATGCACGAGGTGAATGGTTTAGCAGCTGCAGTAGTGCGCCACTTTCTACGCTCAAAAAGGAAACTAGGCAGTAGGGTGGTGGTAGTTGAGTCCCTTCTGCATACCTCGCTCGCTTTACCCTTAAGGTGTAGCACCTGCATCGACTCCAAGGTCCTGCAGCGAAACAAAACACTGCACACAAGCAGAAACACTCAGCGGGAAAAATAAACAGAAGTGAGAGGGTGCAGACAAGCAGCGCATTTAGCTATGGTTCGACGAGTGGCTGATCATGGGGAGAAGTGCACTGGAACGGGGCTGGAAGGGTGGTGATACAAGTGAGTCTTAAGACGGCGCCCGGGTATGACTCTTCCAGCCCAGTTCCAGTGCACTTTTATGCGTAGAAAGCGACACCCTACTGCGGCTATAGACCCATTCACATGGGGCATGACAAGGACCGGGATCAGCGAAATTGGCTGTACAATTTAGCTTCAAGCTTTTTCGGTCTCGTTCCGTTTCTTATACTGTGCATCGTCTAGAAAACTGTTTAGGATGCTCAGAAAAAGTAGAGCTTTAGGGAAATGAATAAAAAGACTTGATGAACGAACCCGGTCAAGACGAAGTTCACGACTTAAGTCGCTCAGTTTTTTTGTATATTTCAAAGATGGATCATAAGTGTTCCTTCTCCGTTTTCGACAAATTTTATCTTTACGTTCAAAGGGAAGACTAGTTATTTCGACTACGTGTGTTTCGACTTCATCCCTACTACGAAGGGGAAGGGTGTTCAACGTATTCTCGGTATAGGTATGAAGAAAAAGGTAGAAAATTGCGAATAAAATTTATTTTCAATTCGTCGCCCATAACCTCGATACCCTTGTTTGCCCAGGAAACTAACTTTTCCACCCTCTGAAAATATTTTTCCTCCTTGTCCCGAATACGCGTTAATGCCGCCTTCAGCTCTTCATCGTCAGAAAAACGCTTTCCACGAAGATCTTTTTAGGTTGGGGAACAAGAAGTAATCACTAATCATTTTCTCAATTTTCTTTTCATTTTTCTCAATTTTTTAAATCAGTAATCATTTTCTCAACATTGTCACATCAGCCATTCTGGTCTTATTATAGTTATCGTCATAGTTAGTATTAGGATACCCCCCACAAATCCTATCCGCAGCCTCAACGTGGCGTGGGGTGAACGGTTTGGACTGTTCCAACACCGTACCAATGCGGAGGGTGCCACGTCAGAGCCTGGCGAGCTACGCGTGGTTCAAACTTCGCCGAAAACAGTAATAATTATGGGCCTCATTCCCCTGAACCTGAGGGAACCACCGACAGGGCGACGTCGGCTGGGACCGCTCGGGCGAGGCTGCAAGAATCACAGGGCCAACGGAGATTTAAGTCGCCCAGGACTAGGATGACGATCTGTACTTTCAACGCACGGACGCTTGCATCGGAAGCTCACATCGAAGATCTGCAAGCCAGGAAGATCAAGTACGACGTCATCGGACTGACCGAGACGAGGAGGCATCGCCCGCTACACGCCGTATACGAGACTGGAGAAGAACTGTTCCTCGGAACATGCGACAGCAGAGGCGTTGGCGGTGTGGGCGTCCTCGTCAACACGCACTTGGCCATGAACATCGATTCGTACGAAAATCTGACGACCCGAATCGGACGTTTGCGAGAAGATGTGGTTCAACTCCGGCTTTGACAATCTTCGTCGCCTACGCACCAACATCAAGCTACGACGAGGATGAGCTCGAAGCGTTCTATATGGAATTGGAGAAGTTCTACAAGGAAGATCATACCTTCTTCAAGGTCATCGTCGGTGATTTCAACGCTAAGATCGGACCAAGAAGAACGGCTGAAGAACTTCACATCGGAACTCACGGAACGGAGTGGAATGAGCAGGGTGAAAGGCTGTCTGAGTTTATCATGTCGACCCATACCATCCATGGTAACTCGCAGTTCCAGAAGCCCTACTCTCTACGCTGGACATGGGAGTCTCCTGGTGGACAATTCCATAACGAGATCGACCACATCATCTTCAATCGAAGGTTTTGCCTGACCGATGTCGCTGTTGTTCCTAAGTTCTACACGGGATCCGACCACCGTCTCCTTCGCGCGAGATTCCGCTTTTCGATGCGAGGAGAGAGAGCCGCAAAGTTCAAGAAGCGAAGCCCCAAGACCGTCATCAACTGGGATCACTTCACTTCTCTCGCTGGGCTCTGGGAGGATTCCGTCATCGACAACATCGACGAGGAATACGAACGGCTTGTCGCACATCTTCACGACTGCGCCAAGAAGTCAGAGGGTTCCAAGATTACCAAGAAGCGTCTATCTCTGGAAACTCGAGCTGATTCGCCAACGTGGAGCCGCACGAGCCGCAGGCAATTACCAGCTGACGTCTGAGCTTGCGAAGCTATGCAGAGAAGCGATAAAGGAAGACCTCAAGGAGAGAAGAGCAGCAGTACTGGTGGAAGCCGCAGAGGCTGGGAAGAGCATACGCAACGCCCGCCGCGACTTCGCCAACTGTAAGACCAAGATGACCGCCCTCCGACGGAACAATCACCGCATCCAGAAGGGCAATGGAGAAGGTCATCCACGACTTCTACTCGGATCTCTTTGACAGCCACGTCCACCTGCCACCATACCGCTTGGAGCAGGATGGATATGTCGTTCCTGCAGTTCTCCCTTCCGAAGTCCGACACGCCATCTCGTCGGTGAAGAATCGTACGGCACCCGGTCCCGACAGGATCAGACCCGAACATCTGAAGAATCTTCCGCCAGTTCTTGTCAAAACTCTGG